AAAAAAAAAAACTACCAGATAGACCCCAGTCACTCTCAACTCCATCTGTGCCCAAACCTGCTCTGTCCCTCCCCTATGCCAGATCCTCTATGTGATGTGAACAAATCACAGATTGCCTGCAAAGCCCTCCTCACCCTTCTCACTCCTGGACATTTTGTACCAGTCATCCTGCCTTGTGTCACCACTAAACTGTTGGGCTTGGCTCGCCTCATCTTGCTGAGCGTTTAAGGCAGGTACCATTATTTTTTCCATTTTATAGCTGAGAAAACAGGCTCAGAAAGGTCAAGTAATTTTCCCAAGGTCACACAGTAAGCGATAGGGCCAGGATTTGTAGCCCAGATGCAAGAGTCTACACTCTGATTAAGCACTAAGCTACATGAACCAAAGATGATCTCTTACATCCCTGATGCACACGCATGCAGACTCACACACACTGTTAAATTAATTTTTGAGTGAATGCTTACTTGAATGGATGAATTACCAGGCCAACACCAAGAAAGCCCCTGGTGGAAGGGAAAGGTCTACTTCACTCCTGATACAAAATGGAATGGCTCTCAGACCTGGAGTCCCCAAGCTGCAGGTGTGGCTGGTTCTAGGTGCTCAGGCTTCTGACTCTCTAGCGCCGGCTGTGGCCTCATCAGGACCAGCCAAGCCCTCAGGCAGGCTGTGCCCAGGGGCTGGGACGAGGACTGGGGTCACTGCCGCACCCCCAGTGGAGGAAGGTGTTCACCCCACTCAGACCGCGTGAGCTGGGTGTGCCGGGCTTGGGAAGGCATGAATACTGGGGGCCCCTCTTCCCCTGCAGGACCTGGTGGACTGGAAGAAGCCTCTGCTGTGGCAGGTGGGCCAGCTGGGGGAGAAGTACCACGAGTGGGTCCACCAGCCGGTGAGCAGGCCCATCCGCCTCTTCCACTCCGACTTCCTCGAGTCCCTGTCCAAGACAGTCTGGTGAGTCCCACCGCCTGGGTTGGGCTGGCCCTGTCCCCTGGTAGACCTAGAAGGGGCAGGAGCTCTCGGGGAGGGCAGGACGTGCCGTAGGGGTAATCCTCGATTGTGCACGATGTCTGTGAGTAGGGGACAGCCCAACGCGTAGGCAGAAACTACTTGGAATGCCACCCCTGCTCCATGCCAGACTCCCACGTGGGCTTAGCGGCTTCTTGGCAACAATTTGCCTTCAATTAGCTCCTCAGCCACAAGAGGGCAGTGTCTGCCCGGCTGCACAGAATCCCTAAGGCTCTCTTGTCAGTCACTCATCTCAGAGGCAGGAGCACGTGACAGTCCTCCTTTCTCTTCCCCAGCCCCCAACACCAGTGCCCTAGCGTTTGACCCTAGGTTGCTACAACTTCTGCACCTTCTCTGGTGTCACTTTGTCCCCCCCACCCCGTTGAAATGTGTGCCCCTAGGGAAGATGGACTGTGCTGACCCCCACCCCACCCCGCCGGTGCATCTCTCTCACCTGGGTGGTCCTCCTGCAGGTACAGTGTCCCCATCATCTGGGTGCCCCTGGTTGTGTACCTGAGCTGGTTCTACTACAGAATCCTCGCCCAGGGCAACGTCTGGCTCTTCAAGTCGTTCACGTCAGGTAACACCAGGCTCTTTCCTAAACTCCGTCCTGGGAGACCCATGCTTGCCCTGGTCCTGGATTTCAAAGAGCACAGGACCCCAGACCAAACCACAAACACTTCTAAGTAAGTCAAGTGTCCTAACCCGAGCACTTGGGAGGCCAAGGCAGGAGGATGGCTGTGAGTTCAAGGCCAGCCTGGGCCGCCAGAACTACAGAGCGAGGCCCTGTCTCAAACACACACACTTCTAAGTGAGGCCTGTGGTCAGGAAAATTCTGTCAGGCTCCCACCCTACCCCAAGTGGGTACAGATCCCAGCAGCCCAAGAGGAAAACCTACATAAAGTTGTTTTGTCACAGCACAGCTAGGAAAGGCGGGGCCGGCCTCTTGCTGAGTCTCCTATCAGGAAAGGTGGAGCCAGGGCCTCTTTGTCAGCCGGTGAAGTGAGGGCTGGGGTGCAGCTCAGTGAGCCAGGCCAGGGTCCATCCCCAGCACAGAAGGAGGAGAAACGAAGAGAGGACAAAGGGAAAAGAAAGGAGCACGGTGAAGTCACTTTATCAATGGCACCACAGGGAGCTGGGTACAGACTGGTCTGCCAGGGACACACAACACAGGCATGAGGAGGCTGGGCAGCGCGTGTGGGAGGGAGAGTCCCAGAGTGTCCTCCAGGCTCAGGGCCACCTCAGGGGACCCCTCCGCTGCCCCATAGGAAAGGTCTGGTCCGTTCCTCTCAGAGCTGAGGGAATGTGGTCATTCCACCCGGTGGGCATGCTGTGCACACATCACAGAGCACACAGTAAATTGTGTGTGTGTGTGTGTGTGTGTGTGTGTGTGTGTGTTACTGGGATTGAATGAACACAGGGCCTTCAAGTTGAGCTACATCCCCAGCCCCTCACTACTTTTTATTTTGAGACAGGGTCTCACTGAGTCACTAAATTGTCCAGGCTTAGCTTGAGCTTTGCCACCTTCCTGCCTCAGCCTCCCAGAGTGCTGGAATTATAGGCATGCACCATCATGGCTGGGCCTTTTTATTTTTTATTTTGAAATAAGATGCCACTGAGCCGCTAAAAATTGCTCCAGCTGGCCTCCAGCTTGCAAATCCTCCTGTCCTAGCCCCCAAAATAGCTGGGATTATAGGAATGAGGCACCACACCTAGTTTATCAATTTTTTTTTCCAGTACCAGGACTCGATCTATCGATTTTAAAAATAAATAGAGTTGAGGAAATAGAGCCTCACAGATGCCTAGCGAGTGATTTCAGATCATGTGGCCAGGTGCCCCCCAGCTTCTAGTTGCAACCGGGAACGGAGAGAGAGACTGACGTGGGGTGTCGTCCAAAGGGCCTAAAGGGCTGTGTCTCTCTGCACAGCCACTCTGCCACCTGCCCCGTTTACTCACCCGTGTTCAGCCTCCCGGTCGGAGCTACCTGCCCAGCGACCTGGACTCCCAGAGGTTTCCCTCTCCTCTAATCCATGTTCCCCAAGTGGGGCCCCACATGTTCTACGGGATTCGACCCTCTTCCCTGCCCACCTCCCCTGGGAACCGTGAGCCAGGAGCCCCAGTGCAGCAGCATTTTACGGCACACACCAGTAATCCCAGATACTCAAGAGGCTGAGGCAGGAGGGCCACAAGTTCAAGCTCAGCTTGGCAGGATCCTCCCTCAGAATTTCATATTTTAAAAAGGAGGTAGAATGGGGAGGGCTGTGGGTGTGGCTCAGTGGTAGCTGCCAGCCTAGTACCCCCAAAAGGCGGGGGGAGCCCTGGCTAAAGCACTGCACCTCACCCAGCCCAGCCCCGCTTGGGGGCGCCCAGGTGCTGAAGTTCCCCTCCTGGCCCACACTGAAGGGCTCGGGCACAGCCAGGGCGGGGCGGGAGGCTGCTCACTGAATCGCCCACTGTCCCGGGCAGCATGGCCCTAACAATCACCAACAGTGGCAGCGCCGCCTCGCCGGGGCTGGCGGCCAGAGAGGGAAGGGAAAGCCAAAGCTTTGGCCCAGGTCCCTCTGCCAGATTCTTCCTGAGATGCCACTCAGTACCAGCTCCAGCAGGATGGGCAGACTGAGTAATGCTGGGGTGAGGGGGCGGGCAGAGGCTTGACCTATAGGAGGGGGCCTTCCTACACGGCAGGAGGTGATTGGAGGGCTCCTCACGCCTCTGCGCCCTGTGCCTTAAGGGTCGGGTGAGGCTTGTTGGTCCGTCCTGGTGGCCAGAGGGACAGCGCACCACCAGCCTCCCTCCCTCCGCAGCTCATCACCAGGGCACATGCCACACGTGCCATACGCAGCGCCCGCAAAGTGAGATGAGGGTGCAGTGGGCGGTGTCCCGGTGCAGCTGCTGGACAAGGACACCCTGGAATAAATGCCTAACAGTTGGGGTGACAGCAGGGCAAACAAAGGGCAGACCCCAGTACAAGGCTGAAATTCCTAGATGCATGTGAGGGTGTGCCTGGAGAACCCAGACAGAGCCAGGCACGGGGGCCCACACTTGTAATCCTGGCACTGGGGAGGCTGACGCAGGAAGATCACCACGAGTTCAAGGCCAGCCTGGGCTGCATAGCAAGACCTTGTCTTTTTTTTTTTCAAATGCACAAACCGGGTGTGGTGGCACACACCTGTAATCCTAGCACTCAGGAGGCTGAGGCAGGAGGATCACTGTGAGTTTGAGACCAGCCTGGGTACATAGTGAGTTCCAGGTCAGTCTCAACTACATAGTGAGACTCTGTTTCAAAAAAACCAAAACAAAACAAAATGCACACACACAAAAGTAGAGGTAAGAGTAAGATTTCTAGAAATATTAACATTTAATCAGCTGTTATTCTTACCATATAATCTTGTATATGCACAGTGGTACAATCAGCTATTATACTGCCGCCACCCTAAAAGCACCCCTTCACGGTGGTGGATGTTTCTCTGTAGAGGAAACTACAATTTACCGATAGGGCAGAGTCACACTTGAACACAGGCCCCAAAGTCCCGAGCCTGCGCTCCCTAGACTATGCCAGCACTACCCCAAAGTGTCAGGGAGAGAGCGGCCCAGGCCAAAGGGCCAAAGCCCACAAAGCTGCTTTGCCAGCACCTGGTACCCAAAGCAGATGCAGCAGGCCTAGGTGAGACAGATGCTTACCTGACTACAGCTTAGCTGGGCAGGTGGGGCCTGTGGGATAGGCAGAAACTTGGCTGCCTGGCATTGCGCCCAGGTGGTACAGGGGACTGAACACCAGGGCCTTTGTACGGAGCTGCATCCTACATCCCCAGCTTTTTTGTTTTTGAGACAGGGTCTCACTAAGTCACTAATTTGTTCGGGCTGGCCTCAAACTTGTGACCCTCCTGCCTCAGGTTCCCAGAGTGCTGGGATTACAGGTGTGCACTGCCACACCCAACAGAAGTAGCCATTGCAAAGGGAACGATTCAGTGGCCTTCAGTACATCTGCAATGTGCAGCCACCATTCCACCTCTGTCGCATTCCAAAGCACCTTTGTCATCCCAGGAGGCATCACCCCCAGTGCCTGTTGAGCAGTTGCTCCCTCTTTCCCACTCCCCCACAGCCTCCGGCAACCACTGCTGTGCTTTCCCTCTCCATGAATTTACCGCTTGTGGACATTTCAGGGGAGGGGGGTCAGACACCCACCCTGCGGCCTCTCTTACTTTGCCAGGAGTTGACAGAGATGGTGGCTATGGCCCAGAGGCGGAGGGCACCCGAGCCCGGCTCCTCTAGTCCATGTGTACATGGGGGACCACATGGAGGAGGGAACCCAGGAGGGGCAGCCTGGAGGCCATGTGGGAGGGGAAAGGCCCTGGCCTCACTGGACCACTCAGTCGGAGCTGAGGGCGGCGGACACAGAGAGGGGAGGAGCAAGTTGCCCCAGGGCTGGGTCACAGAAGTAGCTCTGGAACTGGACAGCATGTGGGCAGGGATGGTGCAGAGAAGGCAAAGGGTCAGGACTTCCACTCTGGGGAAAGAGGCAGTTACCTGGATGGAGCCCGAGAAGGGACAGCCAGTCACACCACTGACTGTGCTGATGCAAATTTGGTATATAATTAGAACCACTGAGGCCCAGGGATTTAGCTCACCTGCCACTGAATTTTGAGTTGTATGGTATAAGAATTAAAATCTGGCCAGACGTGGTGGCGCATGCCTGTAATCCTTGCACTCAGGAGGCTGAGGCAGGTCCACAGCCCTCTCCCGTCTGCCCGACCAAGGGTTTCCTGCTCTTCCTGTTCTGATTGTTGGCTTTGCCTCTCCGCAGCCCCCTGGGCCTCTGGCCTTTTTGGGATCGTCCCCTTGCTGAGGCAAGGTAGCCCTTCCAGGCCGCAGCTGTGTCTCCCAAGGCCCCAGCCTGGCCCTGTGGCTCCCAGACAAGAATATCATCTCCCCGCTGCTGGGTGGCAGGGTTGGGGGCGGCCGGTGTACCTGGGACCATTGCCCTGACTGCGCCTGTCCTGCTCCCCACAGAGTACGCGCTGGTGGTGCACAAGTCCATGTTCCCCAGCCTCTTCGTGCTGGGGTTGTTTACCTGGAGCTTCATTGAGTACTTCATCCACCGCTTCGTGTTCCACATGAAGCCCTCCAGCAACAGCCATTACCTCATCATGCTGCACTTTGCCCTGCACGGCCAGCACCACAAGGCAAGTGGCACAGGTCCCAGCCAGGGGCTGCAACCGGGCCTTGTTCCTTGGAGCCGCAGGGCCTCCTGGGCATCTGGTGATGGTTGGGAATGATGGGGAACCAAGAGTGCTCGAGCAGGGCCTGGGTCAGGTGCCCTGACCTGAGCCAGTGTGCATGCCTGTGTCCTTGCTAATCCCAGGCTCTCTGCCTCACCCTCTGCCCATCACCTTCCTTAATCCTCACTACGCTCCTTGGTCATTCATTGGTTCATTCAGCAAAGGTTCCTGAGCCGGGCGTGGTGGCGCACACCTGTAATCCCAGCATTCGGGAGGCTGAGGCAGGAGGATCACTGTGAGTTCGAGACCAGCCTGGGCTACAAAGTGAGTTCTAGGTCAGTCTCAACTATATAGTGAGACCCTGTCTCAAAAAACAAAACAAAACAAACAAACAAACAAAAAAAGCAAAGTTCCTGAGTGCCTGCTAGGTGCTAGACATCAGTGAACAAAACAGACAAAATTCAACTAGGTGTGGTGGCGCACACCTGTAGTTCCAGCACTTGGGAGGCTGAGGCAGGAGGATAGCTATCAAGTTCCAATCTGGGCTACATATTGAGTTCAAGGCCAGCCTGGACTACACAGAGAGAACCCATCTCAAAAAACAAAACAAACAAAAAAACTAAAGAAATAAAATCCTTGCCCTCATGGATTTTCAGTGCTCCCAATCCACAGAGCAGGAAACTGAGGCTTGGGGAAGTTAGGAAAGTAAAGACACCCTCCCCAGGCAAACAGCTGGCATAGCCATAATATTGTACCCTATTCTGTGGCCTCCAGAATCTGTGCTTCCAACCACACAGTGCCTGGAGCTATTCAAGGACTTCGTGGCACTCCCTGAACCCAGGTGTGGTCCAAGGAGGCTACATTTCCTGGCAACATCCCCATCCCTGTACAGAACTCAGATTGTTCCCCAAGGCAGGGTGTGACTCAAGGTGGTCAGCTGAAGGCTCAGGCTCCTCTATGCAGCCTTCAAAGTCTCTCTCCTGCACACAGGCAGTTCTCGGTGTCCTCAGAGAGACGCTGGCCCAGGATTTCTCAGTCAACCCAGCCAGGAAAGGACATTGTCATGTTCCTTCCATGACTCTCTAAGGGTTAAATCTGTTTGAGACCAGCTGGAAACAGAAGTGGCCAGCATTTTCGTCATAACTCAAGACTTTGGTCATAAGTTAAATTTAAAATTCTGGTTGTAACCCAAGTGGCTCATATATAACTTGAGGGTCCGTTGTACTGTGCTGTCCTTGGCTTATGCCAGAGTGACCCCCGCCCCAGGGAGCCACCATGCCCCGGACTCTCCTGAACATTCATTTCTCAGTGAGTCTCTTTCCCCAGCATTGGGTTTCCTCCAGGGTGTCAATCAGAAAATGTGATTGACACAAGTAGTGACCCAAATATACGGTGACTTTTTTTTTTACAGTAAAAGACACATTACCGTGAATCACACTTCCCCGCTCCCACTTCAGAAATGTTAATCCCATCATTGCGGCCACTTCGGGAGCAGTTCTGGAAGACCTCTTTAGTGAGTGTCTTGAAGAGGTGTGGTCGAAAGCTCGGCTGAGTGCCACGGAAGAGAAAGGCAGGCTGGTAAAACACTGCCGCGCGTCCCGGTCTATCTTAGCTAATGGGCCTGGCACTGTGCCACCTCTGGCTGTTCCCCAAAGTCAGAATGACCGCGAAAGGTCAACGCTTTGAGTCACGACATCAAGACAGCCACAACAGCCCAACAAAGGACACAGAGCAGGACTTCTAGAACTGCTTGTGAACAAGGGGAAAGGTGTGTTCGAAACGGCAGCAGGGAGTATTTTGAGGGGGGCGGATGGCACTATGCCTTTCACTGTGATCATTTCTAAATAATTTGAAGACTCCACTTATTTTTCACTTATACCTTGCATGATACCTTTAGGACTTGAGTTCAGACGTAGAAAAAACAAAAACCGGAGACCTTCACACTGGAGACGGAATTTAGACCCATCACGGAGGCCAGTGGGTCCCCTGAGTCAGGATTCTCTTGGAGCCTCTCAGGCTGGGCGGGGCAGCGTCTGCTCTCCAGGCTCCTGCACGGTGGCCATCAGGGACAGTGTCCTGTGCCAACCTGTTACTCAAGTACTCTCTGAGCGGGGCTGTGGCCCAGGCACCAGGGCGGGCCGTGTCCACACCCTGTCCTCTGTCCCCATCTGCACGTCCCATTCTCCAGGGGGCGACCACGAGGACACAAGGAACTCATGGCCCTGGGTCCAAGCAGGAACCTCTTTGCTGGTCTCCAGTACTACCTGTCTGGGAACATTTTATTATTTTTGTTTTGGGGGGTTTCAGGGGGTCAGGTGAGACAAGGCCCAAGATGGCCTCCAACTCGCAGTGATCCTCCTGCCTCAGCCTCCTGACTGCTGGAAATGTCTGGGTGCCTTAACTTAACCATGACATGGAGCTGGCTGAGATAGACTCTCAAGAGAAGTCACACATGTCCCCTCCCAGCCCCACACCCTGTGACGTCCCATAGGCAGCTGGAAATTGGCCTCGGTGTGAGTATTTACACCACAGGAACTAGCAAGTGCTACACCTCAGGACTCACTGTCTGCCCACCCTCGCTTACTCCTTTGCTGACAGAGGCTCCCAGGGCCCCCTCCAACAGGAGCAAGGCCCACACAGCCACAGGCTTGCTTCTCACCCCTCTTCTCCCCACCAGCAACCTCACCCAGCTGCCAGCGCCTCAGCCCGTGGAGTGTGGTAACAACAACTTCCCTGGGACAAAAGTGGCTCGGGCTGGGCAGCGGGGAGGAGGCCGTCTCACCAGTGCACTGCATGGGCCCCTGATGACATTGGCCTGCGTGTCCGGACAGCCCCCGAGCCAAGGGCCCAGGACCAGGGACACTTAACAAGTCTGGCAGCTAACAAGTCTCTGACCCGAGGGCTCTGGAGCGTGAAGGGCCACCGCGCCCTTGTCTCACCCAGCCCTGCGTTCTGGGACAGTTCGCCAGGTCCCATCCTGGCTTGGAAATGAGGACGAGGACACCTGGGCTTCCAGGCAATGAAGCCTGCCACCCCCAAGCCAGCTGTCCCCTCAGGATTGCCTGGCCATCCTAGCCCGTCTCCCCAGCAGAGCGGCCCCAGAGAGGCCCCAGGGCCACCTCTGACCTGGGGCCTCTGCACCCACAGGCACCCTTCGACGGCTCCCGCCTGGTCTTCCCGCCCGTGCCAGCCTCTCTGCTAATCGGCTTCTTCTATGTGTTCGTCCGGCTCATCCTGCCCGAGGCGGTGGCGGGCACTATATTTGCGGGGGGCCTCCTGGGCTACGTCCTGTACGACCTGACCCATTACTACCTGCACTTTGGCTCGCTGCACAAGGGCTCCTTCCTGTACGGCATGAAGGCCCACCACATGAAGCATCACTTCGCTCACCAGCAGTCAGGTGAGGGTGGGGGTGGCCCCCCAGTCCTCTCCTTGAGGGCTACCTGAGCTCCTCCCAGGAGCCGGCTCCCACGCAGGATCCCACAGCTGGGCAGAGACAGACAAGGAAGTCGGTAAACGGCAAAGGTCGTTTCAGGCAATGAGAAGAGCCACAAAACAAATAAAGTGAAGCGGAGTTTGAGGAACCGATAGGTAGAACGAGGGGTACGGCGCTATCAGAAAAATATTATGTGGGTTATATTCGTACTTCGAAACCTTCTAGGCACCACATTAAAAAGTAAAAGTAAAGCCAGGCATGGTGGCGTACGTCTGTCATCCCAGATGCTGGGGAGGCCGAGGCAGGAGAATCGCAAGTTCAGTCCCAGCGTGGGCAACTTAGTGACTAAGACCCCATCTCAAAATAAAAAAGAAACAGCTAGAGATGTAACTCACCCTGGGTTCAATCAACAGTACCCCAAAAATAAAATAAAATACAAACGCATATAAGGCACAGGGGATGTAGCTCAGTGGTAGAACACATGCAAGGCCCGGGCTCAATCCCCAGGACTGAGCTGGACATGGTACAAGACTGTGCCAGGAGAATCACAAGTTCAAGTCCAGCCAGGGCAGTCTAATGCTGCAAAATAAAATAGGTTGGGGGAGAGGAGATTTAGCTCAGTGGTTCCACCACCCACCTCGCAAGCACAAGGTCCCAAATTCCATCCCCAGTACCAAAAAAAAAAAACAAAACAAAAACAAAAAACTCATGGGTGGGCTATTTTACCTTCTTTCTCCCATACTAAGTCTTCAAAATTCAAGGTTTATTTTGCACTTATGGCACATCTCAACTGGATGCCAAATTTTCCCTGGAAACACTTGATTGAGATCCTGATTCCATACTTTATATTTTATCTTGACCTTACCTTTTCCAGTAACTGAATCAAGCATGTTTTTTAATTGAAATTTAATTCCAATGAAATTAGAAATTCCCAGAACTCAGTAGCCACCTGGAGCTGGAGATGAAAAGGTTTAGGAATGAATGGGTCACTCAGGTCCCAGTAGGGCTGAGATCCAAACAGGCCAGGCCGAGAGAGAGAGAGAGAGAGAGAGAGAGAGAGAGAGAGAGAGAGATCAGCACTGCTGAGCTGGAAATGAACTTGGGCCCGTGAGGAAGGAGAAACAGCAGGAGGAAGCAGGGGGAGGGCAGGGAGAGAAGGAGCCGGGGGAGAGAGAGAGAGAGAGAGAGAGAGAGAGAGAGAGAGAGAGATCAGCACTGCTGAGCTGGAAATGAACTTGGGCCCGTGAGGAAGGAGAAACAGCAGGAGGAAGCAGGGGGAGGGCAGGGAGGGGAGAGAGAAGGAGGAAGGGGGAGGTGGCAGCCTCTTCTGGGGACACTGGACAAGCAGGTGCCCCCCAGCTCCTGCCAGATTGTCCAGGAGTTGGGAAGGGCGACAGGGCCGGACGTTGGCCCTCCCTCAAGTCCCTTCCAGAGGAGCGGATCCATGATTCTTCCTCAGCGCCTCACCCTCTCCCCCATTGTCCCCTCTATAGGGTTTGGCATCAGCTCTAAATTGTGGGATTACTTGTTCCACACCCTCACCCCGGAGAAGCAGCACCTGAAGACCCAGTGAGCGCTCCCGCCGGCCTCCCTGCCTCAGCCTAGCCCTCCACCCAGACCAGCTTGAGTTCCCCGGGGCTGGGTGGCGGGTGTGGAGGTCTCTCCAGGCAGGACTGTCCTCCTGACCTGCCTCAGGAGGTCCCTGTCTCTGAGGCACCCCGGCCCCTCCATCCATGTCCCTACTCAAGACTCAGCACACAGGACTGCTTCAGGGCCCAGCAGTGGCCCCCAGGGGCATGAAGGAAACTGACCCTCAGGGCCAAGGCTGTGCCCACCCATGTCTCATCCCCCAGGACTCCCCCACCACAACGGGAACAGGGTGTGTGGGGCCTGGGCCCTGCCCTACCTTCCTCCCCTTCTGGCAAGTTTGGAGGCTCTGAGGTGAATGAAAGGCTCTCTCAAGACGGCATGACACTTCTCACAGGCCACCCCAGACCCCAGCAGAGTCCCTCAGCTGCCATCTGCCATTCACGGCTGTCACCCTCAAGGCTGGCAGGAGCCGTAACCCTGTCTTGGGGGTGCCCCAGCTGTTCCAGGCACCTCTGCCCTGCCCCAGAAGCACAGCGTTTCTCCCTGAGGGAGGCTGCCGTTGGCACAGGTGGGCACCACGTCCTCTCAGGACCTCCCAGCAAGTGCCTCCTCCAGCCCCAAGAAAGCCTTAGTGCCTTGGCTCCATCCCACCCCAGCCTGCCAGCCCACGAGTCCTGCCCTTCCTATAACCAACTCCCTCCCTGTTCTGAGTCTTCTTATTTATAAACAACACAAATGTCCTTAGTCCGGACCCAGACCCAGGAGCTGGCCAGACAGCCCTTTCTAATCCTAAGTGTTGAGCTTACATAAAAAGAACCATTCTGCCCTGTTTTAGTTCCCTTCTTACCGACCAGCCACTACTACTTGAAACTTAAAAACTCGTTGAGTGGAAAGGCTTAAAAAAAAAAGCAGTTTGACTGATCCTATGATTTGTACTATTTACTACGAGGCTATTTAAAGATTTTGAAATAAATATGCAAAACTACACTTGTGAAATTTTGAAAAATAAAACATTGAAATCAACCAAGGTGTATTGCTGTTTGTTGGTGGAGACTCCCTTGGGCCCCATTGTGATTGTGAAGGGGGCGGAGGGGTCCGAAGAGGATTTTGTTATTGATCGGGTTGGAATTACTGGAATGGGGTGATAATAAAAAAGCTCACTGACTCTTTTTATTTTGTAACAGTAGCAAAGTTTTATTAAAGATAGGAAGAGAGGGTTTTCAGAGCAAGTTTGGGCCAAGTAAAAACAGGAAAAGAATCTCACCCTAAAGCTGGGGATTTAGCTCAGAGGTGCCACAGTCTGCCTCACAAGCACAAGGTCCCAAATTCAATCCCATTCCAAAAAAATAAAAGGAGACGGAGACAGGAGGAGATGGGGGGGAGGAGGGAGGGGGAACAACCTACAGCACAAGGAAGTTCTGCCTTGTGAGAAGGAACACAGTGGCTGATTCTGAGACCCATCACAAAAATTTAATACCCTGACCCATACATAAATAAATTCTGGTCAGGCTGACCCTCAATAATGCTAGCCATTGGCCACGACTGATTCTCCATCAGAGCCAAAGCTGCCCTGGCCGAGAACGAGCCCAGAGCCCTCACACTGCCGTCTGGTGCGACGCTCCATTCTTCCAGGCGTGCCTTCTTGGGCATTTCGCGGCTGACCAACATCCCTCCTAATTAGGCTTTGCTCCATTCCTTGTTTGGTCTGGCTTCTGATCTTGGTCTCTGAATTTTGTATGATTCCTTTTTGTACCCAGCAGAATGACCAACATGTAACCCGCCAGATCAATGTTAGTCTTGTCTGCGTTCATCTCTGGGCAGTAAATTACATCTGGTCGCTGCCTCTCTACCAGCTCCCTGGCCTCTGCCGCCCCCTGGTGGCAACACGCAGCCCTGCTCCATCACAACGGGGAACTGACTCCCCACCCCACTTCGCGTACCTGGGATCACACTCAGGACCTTGCGCTTGCGAGGCAGGCATTGTGCCACTGAGCTAAATCCCCGGCTCTTGGAGTTGATTTTGAATGCCAGCATTTCTGAAAAGAAAATTAGCTGGATGCGAAGGTGCACCACTGTAATCCCAGCACTCTGGGAGAGAGAGACAAGATCGTAAGTTTGAGCTCTCAGTCTGGCCAATTTAGCAACTTAGCAAGACCCTATTTCGAAATAAAAAATAAAGTAAGGGAGGGCGATGTAAGTCAGTGCCAAGGCCCTGGGTTCAACCCCCCCATACTGATAAGCAAACAAACAAATAAGAAACTAGAGCTGTGTATATGAACTTTCCAAAATTCACACAAAATTTCAACTAGAGTTTTCTTTACAGTTAGGTGCTTTGCCCAATGCGTGAATCTGATCTACAAAGAATGCTGCAGGATGAATGCAAAATTTAGAAAATTCCAAGGCGCTCATCTTCACTCAATCCCAGAGTGTCAGAGGAAAAGAAGAAATTATAGAGAAAAAAACTTCTTGATCTGGTAAAGAATAAAGGTGAGATCCTACCTTCATTTAGAAATGCAAGCAAAACCTAAAACAAGAACACAGACACAGGTAGTGTGTTTGGGAGCGGATTACAGAAGTAGCAGGGGGTGCACTGGAAAGGGAAAGGCAGGAGGGAGGATGACGTTGGTCAGCTTTCTTGTTCCTGGGACAAAATACCCTACATCCACTACTTAAAGAAGTAGAGACTTAATCTGGGTCACGTTTCCAGGGACTCGGTTCATGGTCACCTGGGTCCAAGGCAGAAACAGCATGACGGGAGGGTAAGGAGAGGTGCTTAACCCATGGCAGCCAGGAAGCACTACCCACTGACTCCGCCCCTCACTTGCAGGCTGCTCTTGGGTACACAGGCCGCCTTAGTCCATCTGTGTGACTTTTAACAAAACGCATGGGACTGGGGGCTTTATGACAAAAAGAGGCTCATTTAGCTCACGGTCTGGCAGGCTGAAAGTCCAATCCGGTAGCCTCATCTGTCTGGCCTCTGGTGAGGGACCCTGCCTGTGTCATATTATGGTGGGCGGAAGGACACGGAAAAGGGGGACTGGGCGGGTGTAGGAGGATCAAGCACAATGCTGTTCTCATAGAATGAGCTGAGAAGAGTTCTATTTTTGTTAGAGTTTTGGACTGGTTAATTCACTTTTAAACGCTTGGTAGAGCCAGGTGTGGTGGCATATGCCTGTTTGTTATCCAGCACTCTGAGAGACTGAGGCAGGAGGATCAGAAGTTCTAACCCAGACAGGACAGCTCAGAGACTTAGTGAGACCCTGTCTCAACACAAAAAATAAAAAGGGCTGAGGATGTAGCTGAGTGGAAAGGCCCTGGGTTCAATCCCCTGTACCGGAAAAAAAGGGGGGGATTGGTAGAATTTATGAATGAGACCTTCTGGCCTGTGTTTGTCAGTTCCATTAATGTTTTCAAAGAAAAAACTTTTGGTTTTGTTGATTATTTGTGTTCTAGTCTTTATGGCTTCCTCCTTTCTGCTAGTTGTTAGTTTGGCTTTTCCTTCTTTTGTTCCTTGGAGTATACAATTGGGTTACTATTTATTTATTTACTTTTTAGGCATTCACAGCCATAAATTTCCCTTTGAGTCCTAAGTTTTAGCTTGTTTTGCATTTTTGTTTTCATTCATCTCTTGAGTATTTCCCTTGTGATCTTTTCTTTGACCCACTGGTCATTCAAGAATGAGTTTATTTCTACATACTTATGACTGTTTCTGTTTTCCTTCTTCTATTGGCTTCTAGTTTTGTTCGATTATAATTGGACAGGATACTTTACATAATGTCAATCTCTTTAGCTCAGTGTAAGCGCTGGGTTCAATCCCCAGTGACACACATGCACACAAAATAGTTAACATATATATGTGTGTGTGTGTGTGTATTTCTTTTTTTTCCCCCCTCATTGAGTTTATTGGTACATTTTAGGTATACAGTACAGTTACATTCATCACTGGGACCTTGCACCTTTGCATGACAGGTCTCTGTTCTCATTTTTCCAGTAAAGGAAGTGGCCATTCACCAATGAGGCCACCCAGATGTCCAGTAGCACCAAAAAAGATGTCAAACATCATCAGGCACTGAGGAAATGCCAACTAAAACCATTTTTGAGACAATGCCACACGCCTATCACAATAGCTAAAAATCAGAAACAGTGACAAGTTGCGATGCCAAGGTCCGCAGGGCAATCGTCCTCGCTCAGGCCTTGACCGTGGGACTCCACCAGCTCCAAAAGCTCCCCACCCACGGGGCAGAGTGAAGGCGGGTGAAGCACACGCCAGGCCCCCCTGCTCCCAGCTTTCTGACGTCCCCGAATCTGCCTGGGGTTCCCCGAACACATCCTGTTGGGCGTTCCCGCCCCTTCTTCCTACTCTCCCAAGCGTCCTTCTTTCGACAAATCCAATGGACTCAACACGACAAGGACACAGATGTACAGCAATGGAAAGCAATTTCAGGGGCCAGTAAACAATCGACACGCACCCCCAACAGCTCCAAGCCTGTTTCCCAGCCCAGTCTTTCCCTTTAAAGGAATAGTACAGGCTGAAGGAAAAGCGACTTCGCAGCTGTGTGCCGGTCCCACCGACTAATAAACAGGACTCACATCATGATCCAGCTCTGCAGTGACCTCAGAGGAAGTGATTTCTCCTTTCACTGTGTCTCTGCCCATTTCCATGCCCCGCCCACACCCCCCTGTATTACCCAGCACTGAGAAGCGCCTCCCACCTCGGCTTCCTTCGGAGGTTTTCTGGTTTTCTCCCCCTCCCTGGCTGTCCTGGACCGCAGAGCTCCGTCGAACCTCCCTCCAACCTGTTTTTCGTGGGATGCCCAGAGCATTTGTAAGATTTAAAGCCTCACTTACACTCCACGGAGCGTGAACAGCCAAAAAGGCCTCCACGATGCTGGGCCCTAACACCCAGCGAGGCTCTGGGAGCTCGACGGAGAAAGGAGAAACCCAGGAGGGAACACACCAGGCTGGATGGTAAATAGGTCTTTATTAGTCTGGCCAGATGGTACTCCCGGAGCCAGGTGGCTCACAGAGGCAACTGCTCAGGGGCTGAGGTCCTTTTCATAGGGTTTTTATAAAACAAAAAGTCAGGGCATTCACAGAACTACCAGAGGACAAAATTCCAAACACATTGCTTATCTCCTGCAGGAAATGTTCTATTTGTCATAGCATTTGCCCCTGGGCGGGCTGTTAACCAAGGTAGCAATTAGCATATGAAGAAGCACAGTCTGGCCTATTAGCATGGAGTCACTTTAGCCTATTCAAGTCTTACACATTCAGTGAGCCTCGGCTGGTGAGTGCTCCGCAACTGGCCTTTAGTGGAGCCTAGGAAGGGCGCGGAAGCTGTGCAAAGGGCCGGGGTGGATAACAAGGATGCAGGCAGTCTGGGGGGCCTGAGCACCGCCAGCCCAGAGGTGGGCAGCAGGAGCCTCGCCGTTGCCGCCGCCGTTCCCGCAGGCGTCCCAGGCTCAGGG